TAGGGCCCTAAACCCTATATTATTTTCCCAACCCCCATATTGGATTATTGCCTGATCCGTGGCCTTGCATGTAATTTCAAGGCAGAGTGCATGCCGGAGCCTTCTTGGAAGAGATGCCGCGACATCCGCATCGAGGCCTGGCTGTTTTTTGCTGTGATATACAACCCCTATATAGCCCCACTTTCCATTTCTCTTTCTCATCTGATTCTCCGTTGACATCATTGTATACGTCCTCTCCCTCTCTCGCCTCTCCACTTCTCTTAGCCTACTGAAAGAAAAGGCCACTGTAGCTCTGTGGATGAGCCTTTCTGCCCGAGTCTTTCTCATCCAAACTGGCTTTGCAGCTTCCTCCTTGTCATCTCAGGTTCACTGAAGGCATGGCCTGCGACTTGATTCTTCATGATGAGGACGTCAAGCCGTAGCTGCCTCAGAGGTCTCAGGTGCACACCAGACTGGAATTGATTGGAACCGTTTCTTTCTGTCCTGATGCTAGCAGGCTCGCTGTCCTTACGGGACTTCCTCGTGCCTGCGAAGAGAAGCAAGGATGCTCAGTGAGGATGTTAAACTGGCTGTAGCCTCACGGATCTAAGCCACTCAGACAGCCAATACTTGGTCACGGGTCATTTGCTTGATGCAGGTTTGAGGCTGTGCAGTAGCAAATCCCTAAACCCTAAACCCATGCAATCTTTGAGGCTGAAGCTTGTTCATCTTTTGGGCAGCCCGGATCTTGGACACCCCACGGGGCGCCCAGGACATGACTTGTCAGCGCTTGATACCACCCCCTGATCTACCTGATGTTTGATGCATCAAACAAAGAACACCTTCCACACATGAGTAGAATTTTATTTGGGNNGATTCTATCCTCCTTTGGGGTATAGTATTTTATATAAGGAATATAATCTTACTAGGTTCAACCACTAAAAAAACACTACTCACATCTCAGCATTGGGCCAAGGTGGCTTCCCTTCCGATCACTTGCTTCAGATGGCCCTGGGCCCAGCATTCTCCACATGATGCAAAGTCAAGCCAGTGACAGTTCAACTTCAAGTGCACTCCCCTAGAGATGCCATGGGGATGAAGATCCCGCGTCTGCGGCCGAGGCTGCATTCACATGCTCTCAACTGCAGAATCTGGAAGACCAGCCAGAACGGGAGGCTCCTGTTAGATTCGCACTTCACACAGCAGCTTGTTATCAATACACTTCAACCGAGGCCGAGCAGACACAAGAGCCAGGGACAGCTGTGGAAGCTGCAATTGCTGAAGAAATCGCGTAGACATCTGAGCATAAGGGACATGAAAGGTCCGGTGTAGTACAGCCAGATTGACTCACCTGATCCAAGGCCGGAGCCTGTCGACAGCACCGGAGCAACACACATGGAGTGCAACGTCGATGGTGCAACTGGTTCAACTGGCGGGCAGGCGCTTGTTTACATTTCTTTAGCAGGCCGCAAGATACGTTTAAAAACTACCAAGCAGTCTTTACCAGGAGATGGACTCCCGCCGTGCATGGAGGAAGACTCGTGTGAGCCGAAAGCAGTGGCGATCTTTCCGGCCTGACGAAAATTGAATTCGTACTTTGTACTTGGCCGCGCACAGAGCGGCCTGCTGGCCGAGAATGGCCAAGCTGTCGCAGAATGCAGACTTACTGCATTGTGCATTGTTTGAGGCATTTCCACTACTCTGCACCAAGGTTGTGAGGAGTCTGTTAGCACAAGCGCATGTCTCATGTGTCCACAGTCTATCCATAGTTTCACAGAAGATACCTGTAGCAGCAGTGCAACTCAGTGTTAGTTTAACATGCTGCTACTACGGCTGCCGTTCAGCGGAGCTAGCAAGGTGCAGTTACCCAGCCCAGGTTGAGATCATCCGCCTGGCAGGGTGCTTTCTAGATTCTAGATGTGTGGGCATTTACGTGCCCAGCACTTTGAATTCAAGACGCGTGGGCAACTTCAACTGGGTGGTTGTCAAAATTATGGTCCCTTTTTGGGTACCCTAAATATTGGGTGCCGTACTATAATAGGGATCCAAAAAGGGCCCATAATTTTGACAACCACCCAACTCAATGTCCTGGCTAACTTCTTTGCAGATTCCAACCTGCAGAGTATGCCTAGCCTGAGCAGGATGGAGGTGCCCACCTGAAGCTGGCTTGGTGTTAAGGAACTTAATTGGACTTACCAATTATTAAGATGGGCATGTAGTACATGGATAATGGGGCTGCCTTACGGTGATGAGGTAAGATAAGTTAAGTTCCTTAACCGCAATCCAGTTTGAACTAGTACCATCGTACCATAGCTTAGGTCCTTAGGTTGACAGCCATATGAGTGGCCTGACTCGATGGCTCGAGACACCAGAGCTGCGTGGACGTGGAAGACGAGGAGAAAAGCAGCCCATGGCATGGGCATTGGTGGTTCCACGTGGGCCACGGCAGCTTCCTGACATCATGTGAACACCACCTACATTCATTTCAAAATGATGTATCCTGCTTTTTAGAACTGCATGGCTGCGAGAGAAATATGCGTACCTATGATTACTTTTGCACCTTTGAGGGCATCATGTTGTACAGTCTGCGATGGTGTTGTCCTCACCATGCACCGATGCGTCCTTCTGCTCAAAGCCGCCGCACAGGGGCTGACGATTTCGCTCGATGCTTCTCGAAGCGGGATGTCTTTGCCTTGGCCAGATCCTGGTTTCGTCGTGACACGTGTTGCCAACCTGACTGAGCGATCAGTCACAGTGAAGCAGTTGAGGCAGCTGGCACTTTTCTTGCAGAGGTTGTGCAAGGCCTTGCTCCTCAAGCACAGTACCGAGCACTCCAAAGACATTGGGTGCTATGATGAGTACATAACTTGGTTCGACATCAACATGTATGATATCACATCGGAAGTCATCAAGAAGGTGATACCGTATGTGGATCCACAAATAGAAGGTGCCCAGCATGCTCAGATAGAGCAAGAGTGGTGCAGCTGGAGTGAGTTTGTTGCACCAAAACCTCAGCCAGCAAAACTCATGATCAGCCACTGGTGGGGTGGACGCTTCCGAGACTTCATGCGGGTCATTCAAGAGTTGTGCGTCGATGAGGCTCTACCTGGAAGCACCCCACTATGGGTGTGCACCTTTGCCAACAATCAATGGGGTGAGGACTTTGGCGACAGGCTGGCAGACTGTCCTTTCTACAGAACTGTTGCAGCTGCAGATATGACAGATCCTTGCTTGAAGTGCAACCTTTGCGGCTAAACGGTTATTACTCTTGTCAGCCAATTCTTGGTGCATTCGTCCATCGTGGTGGGCTGTAGGTCCTGATCGTGGATCGGTCCGCCGGATCTTTGGGCAGAGTTTGGTGTGGGCTGGAGCTCTATCAGACGATCCGGTCTCAGAAGCGATTGCTGATTTACACTCCATCAGGACCGATTGCCTGCACTTGAAGCTTTGCACATGTTTACCTGCATTGCCTCTTATTTTCAGGACTCGTGGGTCACTCCTCTGGGCGGGCCTCTTCAGGACCACTGATTGAGGCGATCAAAGCTTGGGATATTCGTCAGACTGATGCTTCAGAAGCTTCCTGCCCGACTCACAAGAGGGTAGATCAAAACTGCTGCAAGCATTTTATGTTTGCAGCGCTAGATGCCTCCAATTGGCTTGATAAGGATGCCTACCGACGGCAAATCCTGAACTACATCGCTGGCGTAGATGAATTTGAAGGCTTGGAGCTGGTAGCAGACGGTAGCCTGGCACGAGATCATGGCAGACCCCTCCTGGAAGATGAAGAACTTGAAGATCAGGCCCTACGCAGCTCTGGGGCACTGGAGTACAAGCATGAGGCCTGCCTATTCAAAGATCACTCCAAAGTGTTCGAGGACCTGAATATGATGGTACGAGTCGAGGTCTATGCGACTGTTGGGCGGAGTTACATTCTGCGAGGATGTCATGTGCCTCGCAAAGAGCACAGAGGCACCTGGCATTCAGTCGTACTGTACTTGACGCATATTGCAAAACCATGACCAGTTTTGTTTGCTAATTATTTCGCAACCAGTGCCGTTTTTCCTTGCGGGTGGTTGGTCACACCCTGAGGTGTGAAGCTAGGACAATGGCGGGCGTTCACGCGCCAGGCTGAGGCGGTGGCACCGACTGTGATGAGTATCAGAGGGTTTTAAGCCAATGATGCAATAGAAAAGCATGCGCTACAATAGTCGATGCTTACGGGATCTAAAAGGAGTTGCAACTGAACAGCATGTGATGGGATGCTGTTCCAATCAAACATTTTAGTCTGGCATGTGCTCGAATCAATCTCAAATCGCAGCTATTCTGCATGGGGCTGTTTCAGAACCTGCAGTGATTTATAATGCCGCGCTGCGTAGATGACATGGATTAGCCCCGGCAAGGCCGACTGGCATCAGCGTCGCTGGACTCCAGCTTCTGGCAAGTTGGACTCGTTTGCTCCTGCGAGCTTTGGAGATGTTGACCTCCGCATGGTTTACAACCTGTTCGTCAAGCCGCGCGTGAGTGCTGCTACACGTGACCAGGCTGCAGGGTCTTCCGGTTGAGTGCACATGAACCACAGGCAGATGTTTGAGATCTCCGCATAGTTTGTGCATAAAGGGTCATTTGAGATCCAATGTTTTCTCCCGCAGGTTCACATGCATTTGTTGAATCCTCACGCAAACTTTACGTGGCTAACGCCGCCAGGCTCCTACATGGAGATGGTGTCAGATGGCCCACAGCTGCCCAAATATTATGTCAGCATATCGTGGGACACTCGAATCGCCGACGCAGCAGCGGCCATCGCAGTTCGACTTAGAGTTGTTTCACGTTGATGGTGCAAGTGCAATATGGCTAACTGCAAGGCTCAATACAGCTATGTATGTCCGCTACAAGTACTGGTCGCTGAGGACTGGTGGGCTGAGGCTCTCCATCTACCAGACTCCACGGTCCTTTTCGTGGACTTCTTGTCTGTTGGTCCTGGTTCTGAGGGCACCAAAGGAGACGAGCAGAAGGAGCACGTGAAAGGCGTGGCTTTCCCAGCTGCCGATGAACTGCTCGAGTGCCAGGTGCCAGTTTCTCGGAGCTAGGTACGGGACCCTTGTTATTGCTCGGTGTTGCAAAGTGAACGCTTTGAAATTCTTAGTTTCATCATCGCAACAAGATATAACAAGGAGTTTCAAGCATGCCTTGTAGGGTCCGAGCAGCAGTCCACAATAAGGTGCGCAACAACTGCGGTTTAGATAGTAGAAACTGGGTAGGCCCCTGGGATATTTAATGTTTTCCCTAATGGCTTTAATAGGGGACCATATATACTAATATTTTTCAATGGGTTTTAGGGGCCAACCTAGGAAAGTAGTTGGACTGCAGGGATGCCATTCGCGGTAGGCAGAAGGGGCACACCGTCGGCACTTGCAGGCACTACTGGGAGTTCTGGGTCATGATGCGCCGGAGATGGCAAGCGCATGGCGGTTTCTGGAGTTCGAATTCGCATCGCGAAATGGCTCCCTGGCCTGTGTTGAGCCGTGCAGAGTCCATCGAGCTCAAAGAATGTTAGGATTGCTTCCAGCTTGCATGCTTTTTCTGGCGGAGAATTGCAGCTCTGCAGGTCTAGACATTTACATGGCATGCGCAACAGGGGCGCTGGCGTGTAGCTGCCCATTTGCTGATGGCAGCTGGGTTTTTGGCAGGCTGAAGTAGCAAAGTCTCCAGTGGTCATCAAAGCTTTGCATGCATTGACGCTGCCGCACAGCACTGACATGCCACTGGAAGGTTCGATGCTGACATTGGACGCAGCATGCAACATGTCTCCAGCCGCAACTGCAAAGCCAAAGCCGGAGACCTGCAGGCCATCAAGGACCCAGCGTGCTTCTCGCTTTGAGACAATGCAAGCCAAGGTCTGTTTGTTCCTTGCGATAACGGTGCGCTTAGTAATTACTTTTAACTTCCCAACCGCAAAGTGTCCCTGAAGTTTCCCTAAAGTGCCCAGCCCCGACGTGTCCACGAAGAAAATCCATGAGAGCTTAGCTTTGCGGCTCTTTGCGAATTTGGTAGTTTCCCAAAATAAAGGGACCCCAATATGGGGGTTTCCCAAAATTAGGGGTACCATTTTGGGGGTCCCTATAATAAGGACTATAGTATTTTGGTGTCTATATTGGGGTCTCCTTATTTTGGGAATGTACCATATAGACCCTAATATACTATAATCCTTTATATTTATATTGGAGTTATATGGGGATAATGGAAAAGAAAATGGAAACTACTATATATGCTTGTTTCGTACTCGTCACAAACTTTTCGTCGATCGTCATAGGGAGAGCAGAGAGGGCTTCAAAAGCGCAAGTACCACAAATAAAGCTCAGAATATGCAGTGGGTGCTATTGCAAGCTGGAGATTGCTCTAGAGAATGTCGGCGTGAAAAGGCGTTCAACGCATTGCCGCCTTAGAAGCGTTCACTGATCCGTCCGGGGAGAAGTTGTTCATGAATCACGAAACTTGTGCCCAGAAAGGAAAAAAGTTGAACATGTGCGTAGACAACATCGGCGAAAGCTTATAGCCATGGAGAAACGGCTAATCGTCTAATCTCGCAAATATATTCCGGCAAGAAGCGCTACCGCTACGAGTGATACAGCAATAAGGAGCGTTGAATACTTTCTTAGACAGCACCACCGCAAGGTTAAGCACAAACAAACAACAGGCTTCAACTACTGAAGTTCACGATCAAGTACCGAAAAAGACATGTCATGTGTGTTCCACTGAGGGGGGATGGGGGGGGGGCGGGGCGGCGCAAAAAATGCCTGCTGACTGCTTCACGCGAAACATATCAGCGTCATATTTTCCATAGGAAGACCACTTCAAATCCTATCGCTGCAGTGTGAAATTGATTTTGGCCATGTGTTCATGAGATGCTCTAGAATCTAGAACTGTTGGGGACACCAGCTCATACAAGATCGAGCACGCACGCTTGAACCGAAGTCTCAGATGGTAGCGTTGAGAGAGGCACGAGAAGTTCAAGCCTCCACCTTAAGCCCAGGCAACCCAACCTTTGGGTGAGGGCGCGCCAAGTAAATGGTTTGTTCAACGCGTGTTGCAACACACTTAAGGCTCAGTATGCAAACAAGCCCATGTTGTTTGGTGCGAACATTTCAATTTCTGGTGCTCCGAAGTATTGGGAGCTTTGGCAGAAAGGGCTTCTTACGTCAAGCTCGCCCCGGAAGCTGAAGCCATCCCAGGAACACCATGGAAGGCTGTCTTAGGTTATCTTAGTATGATATATGGGGGATTCCCTAAATTAGAGGTACCCTTTTGGGAGTCCCAATGATATGGAGTATAGTATTTTGGGGTCTATATTGGGGTTCCCCTATTTTGGGAAACTACCATATTTAGCTATCTTAGAAACAAAGCTAACATGGCTACAAAGCCGCCAGCAGCGGGATGGTAGTTTTTGCGAGAGTGTCCAAAGCGAAAGACAAGGGCCATGACACTGCTGCTGCAGGAATACTTCGAATCAAGGGGATGCTTGGTCCGAATTCAGTAGTTTCCATTTTCTTTTCCATAATCCCTAAACAACCCTTTATTAACCCTAAACCCTACAGTAGCCTACGGCTGCAAGATGAGCTCATGGCCAGCATTCTGGTAATGAGACGAACCTACTTGTCAAAACATGCCCTGTGCCAACTGGAGGTCATGGACAAGCAATCTATGACCAAATTGATTGGCGATTCCAGCGATGGGGCGCAGGCCATTGATTAGGCAATTGCACAACTAAGCATGACTACACTCTTATCCAGTGGTGCCTTAAAAAGGCAGGTCACGGTAATACCCTCTTGGGACTGCGAGTATTACGCTTGTTCTCTCTATGTCGGGTGCCCTTGTCGAGGCCCCGTGCTGCGTGAAGCGGCAGAAAGTGATGATGACGAGGAATGCCACGTTGGCCATGCAGCGTCATGCAGCATGCGTGCCTCATAAGCATGTAAGAGTGAAGGAAGTCAAGGCCATCTGCATGAATCCATCCCTTGTGATCAACGGTTCCAGCGCGAGCCTCAAGCTGCGAGCGAAGGACTTGAACAGCCGCAACGGGTAAAAGTATGTAATGTGTGTTTTGGGCGCTGGCAGGTCTGCAAGGTGCGCACAACGAAACGGCTCTGCACATTGCGGCGGCAGCAGGCTCCATGGAAGCCATGAGGGCCCTCCTGCTGCTTGTCCTGATTTAATTGCCGTGTTATGCCGGTATGAACTGGCTCACTTGCTGGAATGTCTTGCCATAAACTCAGCATTATGCACCACTGAGGAGGCTGCATGCAGACCCCAACGCACCTTACTTCGCCAACATAAGAACTTTCTACTTTTCTGTGTACGTAAAGTAAATTTCAATGCTTAAAGACCCCTATGAACAAGCCCTCGGGTTGTTGGGATTAACATACTATACTATAGTATATTGGAATTTACCGAAATTTACTATGATGTACCCTAAACCCCTAAACCCCTAAAGTAGACTGGGAAGAGAGGCACAAGATCAGCTGGGCGAGACCCCGCTGCACTACGCAGCCTTGGCAGGCCAAAGTGCCGCCGCAGCCTTGCTTCTTGAGGCTAAGGCAAGGACAAGTCTAAACTCCTCAAAAGGGGGTTATATGGGGAGTACTATAGGGGTTATTAAGGGGGACACTAGGATCACTAGGAGTTTAGACTGTAGCTCATGTAGCGTTATATACGGGATTAGATAGGGTTTAGGCATTAGGGTTTAGGGTCTAAACTCCAGAAAGGGGGTAGGGAATAAGGGAATATATTACCCCCAATAATGGAGAAGCAAATGGAAAATAACATGGAAAATTAAATGGAGACTGGGATTATATAGGGGGACATATGAGCCTCCAAAGTCCTTCAAGGGAGTGATATAGCGGACTACTAGAGGGGTTATTAAGGGGGATACTAGGAATTTAGACTGTGGCTCATCTACGGTTTACAAGGGGTAGTTAGGGCTTATATGAGGGCTTACAAGGGGCATAATGGGATGTATAGGGAGCTTGCATTGAGGGTTTATGCAGTGGGGGGGTTTACAAGGTTAGATACGTGTATATGGTCAATTACATTGCATGAAGCGCATGTGGGCACCTGCGTCAGCATGTAGGAAAGGGGAGTTGGTCACAACCGTTTGTCTTACCTTTGGTTCCCTAGGAATGAAGGAACGGATCCTTATAGTAGTCCCTATATATCTCATTATAGTAGTTTCCATTTTCTTTTCCATTCCTTCATTCCCAGCTAACCAAAAGTAAGTTGTCGCCTTCCCTGAGCAGGCTAATATCCTTTGCGAGAATGCCCTCGCACAGGACACTGCCAAGTGCACAAGTTTCTACAACAGTCCTTGATTAGTGCAGAGTACCCCAAAGATCCAAGTATACAAAAAGGATCAACATACAACCCTAACGTCTGTAAATGTTGCTTACACTGGGCTACTTGGATCCTTCGGGCTAGTCTGGATGGAAAGAGGACCCCTTGTTCGTGGCCCAGCAGAAGCTTGGATGCAGTTAGCTGAGGCCGACTGGTCGTACCGCGTGGTAACAGTAAATACTAGAAGTAGTCGTCGTAGTAGTAGTAGTAGGAGGAGGAGGAGGATGAGTAGGAGGAGTAGGAGTAGGAGTAGGAGTCGGAGTCGGAGTAGGAGTACTAGGAGTAGGAGAGTAGTAAGCTGGGTAACATGTTTATCAAACAATATTAAAAACCGTAAGCTGCGTAACATTCTTTATCAACAAATGCACCCACAACCTCATGATGACTCAGACCCATTTAGCAAGTTTGACCCTTTCAGGAATCCGGCAGGCTTCCTTGGCATTTCCATGAGCAGCTTCGCCGGCTTTCCACTGCAGCTTTCCGGCCTAGGCACATAGACCCGTGAGATCCGGTGAGACAAGGAAAATGGATGGAAGAATAGAAGCCACTAGACATGGTACATCAGTTTCCCTTATCTTATTCATTACGCTGAGAAAGAGTTTCGGACGTGTTGAGCATGCCTGTGGCAGCCGGGGCAATGCGCAGCGTTTTTTGCTCCATGCATGTGCACTGGCACGTCAACCCGTGGAAGCAGCCGCCCTTCCACCCTATCACATTCTTCAACCACGCACGCAGCCTGTTGAAACAAAATAAGCTACCAGCAGAGATGTCACACTGAGACGTTGCGGCAGCGGCGCATGCCGAGTAAGCATGTCTCTCAACAGCACAGCGACCAAGACTTAGACTTGGCTCATTCCTCGTTGGAGCCGACATGCTTGCTAGATGGCCATGACTTACTGGAGCATCCCCGCAGGCATGGGACTGGTGCAGAAGATGTTGGAATGCTTAGGGGTATATGGGGATATATAGGGATATTAACCCGATAATGGAGAATCAAATGGAAAAGATAATGGAAAATGACATGGAAACTAGGGAATATATTGGGGTTAGAAGGAATTTCAGCTGAACTGGTTGGGCACAGTGTCAACACATTAGTTATGCTGTTGCTGGACCGCACCTGCGCTGTCAGCATTATGTGGTCCTTGTCAGTGCTGCCACCAGCAGCAAATAATTTCTTTTCAGCTGATTACTGCTCCTTTGCATGCTTTCATGCTACTACGCCTAGTCCTGCGCCTAATCCTATTACTCCTCCAGCTGCTGCCGTTTCGCACACGGAGGCGGAGAAGATGCGACCGTCATGGCGCTGGCCCAGCTGTTGCAGTGCCTGACCCAGCTGAGGAGTTGGCCTTATATTGTACAAATACATAGGGCACATGGTGTGCGTGTGTGTCTCTTAAAACGGCTTGGTTAAGTCTGTTGGCATTGATTGTAGCTAGATCGGATCTGAAGTGAACATAATGGCGAGTCTATTGTACGGCGCCGATTAGACAATCTGCCAGGGAACACATGAGAGTTGAGATCTTGTTGGACTTGCCACCAGCGAGATTCATTCCTTGCGAATTTCCAAGGAAGAGGGATTCTGTTGGAAGTTCTTATTATGAGGGCTCTAGTATGTTGGGGTCGATAATGGGGCCTCTTATTTATGGAAACCCCAATTGCTTCAAGTCTGCCAACCTGTTCGAAGAGCGAGGCCTGACATGTTTAGGAACGACAAGTCCAGACGACCGTTGTTATTCCTGTATTATTCCTACTGTTATCATCGCTGTTATTTGAAATATGAATGCTACTAGTTCTACTATTATTAGTACTTTTAGTGCTAACCATGGCGTTCAGACGTGTGGATCCTAAACTCTAAGCCTTGCCCTACCCTTTACACCCCTAGTAGCCTTGGCTTGAAAATCCGAGCTTCCAGGTGGAGTGGCGGTAGCCGGCCCGCCAGTGCAGTCGGCTACATCTACAAAGAGGCTGGTGAGCAAGGGAGGGAAAACATCAACCAGGAATGCAACGAAGTTATAACTTGAAGTTCCTGGTGATATCATTATCAAGTTACGCACTGTTTCATAATATTGCTACTAGGGTTCGGGGGCAGCAAATGTCGTTGGCAATGTGAAGGGATGTGAGAGGAGCCAGCGTATGCGCGCACTGGTGGTCCTGATAGAGAGAAGTCACATCATGATTTCCTCAGGGTCTCTATGCTATTTGGTAGAAATCGTGGATCATTGGGCTGTACAATCGATGAAGAATTGCTTATGGAGGCATTTTGCTTGGGGGCAAAGGTTGTTCCTGGGCAGCTTGGAGCTCAAAATTTCACCGCGCCAGCTCGCAAGGAAGGTGGTAACCTTCACCGTTGGGTCGTGCAGTCGCACGGGGGCGTGCAAAACTTCGTAGCAGCCCATGCCGACGCGGGCGACCCAGGTTGCAGAAGTTACTGCCAGCGCTGCATTGTTTAGGGTTTATGGGTTTAGGGTTGAGGGTTTATGGTGTAGGGACCCTCCCCGTAAGAACAAAGAAGCAGGGACTCTTTGGGGGCTATGTAGGGATAATGGAAAAGAAAACGGAAGCTACTATAGTATAATAGGGTATAGTAACCCGCAACCTGCCCGAAAAATGAAGACTCCCACCGTATCAGTGGCCCTATTGTACACGGGGGAGGGGGTGGGTTGCAGGGGGCAGCATTACACGGGGACTGTTAAGAAGAACATGTAGAAGTTCAAGCGCGTAGGGTTTGAGGTAAAGGTATAGGCGCGCGGCTATTCAAGCCGCAGATCGGGAGTGTTCTGCCACCCAAAACCGAGGTACGGAAGCCCGAAATTATGATCAGGTAATGTCCTGGGTTGGGGATGATGACGCTTCCCCTTGGTAATATGCCTAGCTAGGACAAAACCCGCACTAAGAAGAGCTACTTAAGCTATTTGGAGATTCAGGGCAGCTGTAGACCAATCAGAGCTTTACGTCTAGTTGAGTCTAGCCCAATTATAAATCCCTAAGTCCCCTAATGTGGTCACAACTGGGTTCTAAGTACCAGTTTTAAATTTGGACCCTGAAGCCCTAAACCCTTCCTTTACGTCTACACCCTGAACCTTAAACTGAAAAACGCCTATCTTACCCCGAACCTCCGAGTAGATGGCCTCTCCTCAGGTGTTTGCCTTGGAGCCAAGAAAGCCAGGCCAACGAAAGTTTGGAATCAGAAAGTGTGATAAGATGGCCAGAGCAAAAGGCAGGCTTGTGGGTTCAAAGGTCTGCGGTCCCCAGGATTAAGGGTTCACGAGTTGAAGCAGGCTAATGTTTTCGGCTGATGGTGTGTGTGCGGGGGCTCAAGCTTGTGCACTTCACACCCGTACTCTGAACAAAACCTAGATCGCAATGACCTCAAATAAAACAGGATTTCTTCCTGGACTCTGCACACAGGGAACAAATTGAGAAACCTAAACTTGCTACGCTATGATATTATGTAGCTTGATGCATCCCCGTATCACATGGAGCATCAAGAAACAATAGAGGCATGACTTGGGGCGCAGGAGCAGACGGCTTTTTGCAAATGCATGAACAGATGTTGCAAACGCGTGCGCATTTCGATTCATCACCCATGCAGCGACTAGACTCCGCGTTCTATAACCCCAATATATACTATATACCCTATTATATTATAGTAGTTTCCATTTTCTTTTCCATTATCCCAATACATCCCCCATACATCTCATATATAACCCCTATATAAACCCTATAGTCTATCATCCCAATATGTATCCTATTATATTGTAGTAGCTTCCATTTTCTTTTCCATTATCCCAATATTACCCAAACAGAGTCTATTTGCTTGGGCATGGCGCTGCATGGAGTGAGGGTGCTTGAGTTGGAGGGCGCCAGGCTCAGAGTCGGAAACGGATGCAGCCGATGAAAACAGGGTTTATATAGGGGTTACATAGGGTTTATATGGGGGTTATATTCCATAATGGAAAAGAAGATGGAAACCACTACACAATAATAGAATATGATAGGGAATATATTGGGGTAATGGAAAAGAAAATGGAAACTAGCATAATATATAAAAGGGTATAGATATACTATGATATAATAGGATACATACCGGGATTATAGACTATAGGGTTTATATAGGGGCTATATATGAGATATATTGGGGATGTCTTGGGATAATGGAAAAGAAAATGGAAACAACTATATGCTAATAGGGTACAGTAACCTACAACCTGGGGGGGCAATAAACCCCAAACCCTAAACCCGAAACCCTAAACGTAGGAAACCCTAAAGCCTAATCCCTAAACCCTAAACCCTAAACCCTAAACCTAGGCTTTGCGTGGGCCGAGGTATAGGGCCGTGCCCATTAGCAGCGTGTGTCCTTGCAGACTTTGGTGCGGATGCAGCTTCCCTGGCCATGCAGTCTTTGGCAGTATAACAGGGTCGTATATCATAGTATATTATATATAGTATATTACAGTATTTTAGTATATGACAGTATATTACAATATATTATATTATGGTATATTATAGTATACTAGGTAGCACTAGTATTCCGCCCTGAGCTTCCTGACGTGGCCATTGAGGTTGTCACTGTTTGCCGGGCGCGTTGGGCTTACTCTCAACCAAGCGCAGTAGCAGTACTAGTAGCAGGTACAAGAAAGTGCATCTAAGGCAGAGTGGCCAAGTTCGCTCACAAGGCGACCCGGTTTCTCGTGGCAAGCGACATGCACTCAGTTCACCACCTCCTTTAACCAGCACATGCAACATGTAGTTCCATGATTTTCAGATATATCTATTTGCGCTCAGCATAGAACGAAGTCAAGGATCGATAGCAATCGACGTCAAGAGCGTGGATGGTTTGAAGGCGCAGCCTCTAAGCCAGCTGACGCTGCAAGAGCTTTAGACAGTGAACGTGTGGATTTCAACCCACTTTGCATCCAGTCTGGTTCAAATCAAGTAGGTTGACCTTTTGGGAATAGGCATAGGTAAGGAGCCAGCCCCCTGTCAAGTTCTCAGTAGCGATGAGAAACCCTATACCCTAAACCCCTAAACCCTCATAGGTTGTCCAAAAGCTGGCTTCAACAGCAGACGTCTTCTTGGAGCCCTTCCGGCCCGGGGCCACAGCCTTAGCTGCCTCTAAGCTCACGAGGTTCCTTAACCACCTCCAAGGGTTTAGGGTTTAGGGCCGCCCTAAGGTTCAGGATTTAGGGTTTAGGAACCCTAAGGTTCCGAACGAGGTGAGTAGTATTTTATTTGGGGATACTATGGTACCCATTATAGATTAAGATTCTATCGTCCTTTTGGGGTATAGTACTTTCTATAAGGAATATTGTCTTACTAGGTTCAACCACCACAAAAAAAAACACTACTCAGGTGGTTTCCTAAACTCCAGGATTAGGGTTAAAGGATTTTCGTCCAAAAGGGGGATAGTATAGGCTATACGGGGGTGGTTTTGAAAATTCGAAATCATTGTAGGAAGCTATTATCCTCGTGGTGGGGCCCCAAAGTGGGATCCATGATTTTGGAAGGCTGCATGTTACTGTAGAGACATGTTGGTTCCTGTATCGGTTGTACTTTGGAGATATCAGGGATCCAAACGCTGACATTGAAGCGATGCAGCTGTTGTCTACTAGAGGCTTTCTAACCAACCCGACTGGCGCTTTGAACAGCAACCGAATGTTACCCCCAGATTAACCTTGCAATAGAACCCCTACATGTTGAGGTGGTGGAGAAGCTGGGTTTGGGACCAGAGGCCTGGCAATCATTTTTCGAAACCTCAAAGCCAGATACCTCCTCGAAGAGGTGCTGTGCAGAGATAACCCGCGTCTTGTCTACGGTCGAATGACAGGCCGCAGGCTCAGTGCTACAATGCCTCCCGCCAGGTTTGTTGAAATGGATCTGGATCCTGTGGCTGAGGTTTTGGTCAAGGTGGAACGGAGTTTAGCTCTATGGCAGGGCATGACAACAACTACCTGGCCCTAGCAGGCCTTGCCTTTGACTCAAAGCCCAGGGCACATAACCTTCCTATAACTCTCGTATAAGCCCTATGTCACCCCCATAGAACCCCATAGAACTCCCATATACCCCCCTAATACAAGTTGTCAGGAACCCTGGACTTCTTCCGGCGTGGCGAAGAGAGGCCGTTTCCTCCAGCAAACTTCGCTGGCGACTACGATCCGACCTTACTGCTTGCAACATCTTCTCAGAGTCCAACTCAATATACTACAGTAGTTTCCTTTTATTTTCCATTATCCCAATATGAACCCTGTATAAAATCCTTATATAACCCCATTATGGTAGCGTGGTGTTTGAGCCTCATCTGGTCATATCTGGTCTAGGCCGGAGGAGCCATGATGCTGGCCATGGGCGTTCTTCTGGTCTGGCTCCAAGTTGTGGCTATCCAAGCAGTGGACCACCCTCTCAATCCCCATGAGAAATCATTGAAAGATGATTGGTCGATGTTTGAGGCCTTGCTGGAAAGAAGCAAGAGCGGCTGCGGACAGGTGATTGATGCAGCCATGGTCGATGGAGCCAACTACACGGTGCCTCTGTGCATGTCAGGATGCGTTCAAAAAAAGGGATGGGATCTAGCTTTATATGCTTCTTATCTCAAAAGTCATGCCATTTTGTTGGTACCCTGGTGGGGTCTCAGGGTGCGAGTTCGTTTGAGACTGCTTCCATGTTCTGCGTGCTCTGCTTGTACAAGTGATCAGAAGAGGCACTGCCCCTCTTCAAGTGGATGCAGACTGGACTCGTTCCAGCCCGAGCCCCAACAACTGCCGACTTCATGTTTTATCTCAATGCGTACTTGACCTTCGGCAGCTGCAACTGGGTTCAGGTGGGGTCTGATGGCCACATGAAAGCTTCCGACTTCATCCTATGCTTGCGCCTTCTGTGATGTGAAGCTTGTTCCTGGTAGCTGGTAGAATGAAGATTCCTTGACATGGTGGCTTTGGGTTGATTCGGGCTGAACCCAGGTCAGGCTCCTCACTGGTCGGATGTATATCTTTGCAAGGAAGACCCGGCAGGGGCCCTTGCAAGAACAGCTCGAAGTCGGAGTACACGGCCTCTGGCGAATGGCATCAGGTGTGCAAGTCAAAGCCTATCTGCCAAGGCCAAGAAAGGCACTCGCCAATATGTCTCAGTGGGCCCTTGAAAGCAGTCAAGGTTGAGTTTTTGGAATCTGAATCCTGGACTGGCCTTTGGGAGGTACAGGCCATTGAGCCACAATTCTACAGGGTGCTGTTGAAGGGGCTGGGGCATCGTGGCAGCACTAAGCTTTCTGAAGCTGCACTCACTTGGTAAGAGAAGACCTTCCAAGATGTGCTACGGATATGGAGCCTAGAATCTCTGCCTGGACTTGCTGGATGGGTAGTAGGAAATAAGGGAATAGTGTATATTGGGATTATACCAGGAACTGTAGGGATCATATTTACTAGTCTTATTCCTAAACCCTAACCCTTAAACCCCTACTAACCACCAGCAAGTAGAAGACCCAGGCTTGCTACCGAAGAGTTGCCGTCGCAGTACGACCGCAAGGCTTCCTCCGTTTGCATGGCAGGAATCCCTCAGGGCCTGCAACCTGTTATAGGGGTTTCTACAGGGTTTAGGGATTAAGGTTTAGGGTTTAGGGTCAAACCTCCTCAAAGGGGTTTTATATAGGCTGTTATACATAGGGGAGTAGTATAGGGTTGTTAACGGGGGATACTAGGAGTTTAGACTATAGCTCAATAATGGGCAGTTCCCAAACCTAGGTCCCCATTTTGGTACCCCAAAACATTAGGTGCGGTACTTCTGTTTCGAACCAAAAGGGCCCATGATTTGGAGAATAACTCAAAACCAGGCCTGGCCACCCTAATCACTTAACCCTTAAACCTAAACCATCTAAGCCATTTTCTTTGAAAAACAGGCCTGGCCACAGATGAAATCCCGTTTTGCGGAAATCTTCCGTACAAAGACGCGGGACGAGTGGGCATCAACCTCAGATGGTATGTTATAATACATTATTATAGTGTAGCATGAAAGTATACACTTGTATGTTACAGGTTATTATTATAGATTCTAGTCTGCTAGAGTGTATTACAGTATATTGTAGTATGTTATAGTATGCCATAGTACATTATAAAAGAAAAGTGTACCATACTGTCACGAAAAGATGCGGAAAAGCAAGGCACAGGTCTTCAAAGGCACGGACGCTTGCTGTGTTCCAGTCCTCAATGCCACAGAGGCAGCTGCATCCTCAGTGGATCAGTGCCTCTTCTGATCACTTGTACTATACAGGGATAATACAAACTAAAATGGAAACTACTATAATGGAAAATGAAATGGAAACTACTACATTATAATAGGATATATATTGGGGTTGTATTGGGATTAATGGAAAAAATGGAAACTACTATAATGGAGAATCAAACGGAAAAGAAAATGGAAAATGAAATGGACACTAGGGAATATATGGGGGTTATAATACTGGGGTTTCTCAAGACCGGCTTCCAGCCTGTATCATATGAGCCATAGTCTAAACTCCTTAGAGGGGGTTATATAGGAGGCAATATAGGGGACTACTATGGGGGATATTAAGGGGGATACTAGGAGTTTAGACTATGGCTCATGTGTACACCAGAATGCACTTGGGGGGCGTTGATGAATGTGTAAAGAAGTGCCGAGAAACTCAGCACATGGCCTATAGTCTAAACTCAAAGTGTTCCCCTTAATAACCCCTATACTGCTCGCCTATATGGTAGTTTCCCAAAATTAGAGGACCCCAATATAGACCCCAAAATATTATGATCCTTATTATGGGGAACCCCAAAAAGGTACCCCTAATTTTGGGAAACCCCCATATAATCCCCTATATAACCCCCTTTAAGGAGATTTTTACGTGTACTGCAGGCTGCTCATCCCCACAACAGAAAGCGGCGGAGCTTGTGCCTCGAAAAGTCTCTAGGAAAGTATAGTATACTATCGTATATAGTATAGTAGACTATAGCATAGTAGAGTATAGCATAGAATAATATAGTCTAGTACAGTATAGTAGTATGTAGTAGAGTAGTATAGAATAATATAGTATAGTTCAGTACTGTGTATAGTATAGTATTGTTCTGCTATGGCCATCTGAAAGCTTGGCTTCCGTTAGTTTCTTACAGATGCCAGCATGTCATGTGCACAGAGCTTTTGGAAGACATGGCCAGAAAGGAAAGCTGCATGTCAACATTCACTCTCATGCTTGGAAAGCCTGCAGCAGACATCTCATTATGCAGTTTTTGCATTCGCAAAATAAGGCTGATACGTGGGGTGTGTCTCAACATGCCCTGCCCTGCTGCCTCATGAAGTTCTGCCCTTCATTCCATGTTTTGGATCAGATATGTGTTGTTAGTCTCCAAAGCTGGGGCTTCTTTTTCCAAGAACCATGGAAAAGGGTCTGGACCCAAATGCAAGAACCTTCAGGCTTCGAGCCAACACCTGGCAGGAACCTCAGGAGGGGGTTGCAGCATTGCAAGACTATTGCAAAGGTTAAGACTATTCTTCCAACCGTTGCGAGCATTCTCATATTCATCATAAGCAGAAGTTCTCATGAAGCAGCAGAATAAATTAAGAAGCATAGCAATCGTGGCGGGACTAGTACAGCAGTAGTACAGCCACGGTGGTTCTGGTAATGTGCTGTAGTGGTAGTAGTAGTGGGGACGGCAGCAGCAGTAAGAGGAGTTGCAGCAGTGACAGTAGCAGTGGAGGTGCTTGTATCAACAGCCATTGTCCTGGTACAGAAGCAAGAAAGGGACTAGGAGTATGTAATAGTATGAAATAGTTAGCTACTGCAGGAAGTTGCCGCAGAGTAGTAATTAGGTGGCAGCTGTAGCGGTAGCAGAAGCTGTCACAAGGCTTCAGCGTCTATTTGCGACAAACCAGTGTGACAAGACTTTGTTCATGAAGCAAGTCCGCGACGAGGGCTCCTTCAATCCCGGGCACTCCCGTATTGATAGACTGAGAGCGAATCCATGCCACAGGTCGATTTGTTTGGCTGTAGCAGCCGTAGCAGTCCACAATCTGAGTCTCATTCATGACCTGGTGACTGAGCTATCAACTTCTCTTTCTGAAATCCTGAATCTGATGCTTCAAAGGTGTTCAATTCACTGACTCACTTATTGCATTTAGGTGCACCTGGTGTTTTCGAGCCAGCACCTGCGCCCAAGCTCAGCCGTACTCCGGGCCATGTGCGCTGGCCTCAATCTTCATTTGTTCTCTTCTTGGAGCATGAGATCAGGAAAAGGTGCGATCATGGATAGGAGGGCGGGCAGAAAGGGACCTACAATTGCTACAGTGAACGGCTGGCTCTAGGCACTGTCAAGTCCCTTTGCTTTCCGAACGAGGCCTCGACCATGCCCAGTACCAGGGGGCAACACCCGCGAGGCAACAAAGTCTGGAGGGCGTTTTCGTGAAGATCCAAACTAATAGGGTGCTGGTACCATGAC